TTCTAATTCGAAACGCCCCCTCGGAGCTACCGATAATACTCCCGTTTCGAAAATATCGTCGAACGCGTTGCGTCGGTGGAAAGAACGAGAGGATTTTTCTAAACGGAAAATGAAAAAAAAACTACAAAAAAGAAACAGAAACTGCTCGAAACAGTCCCGGCTCCCTTTACGAACGAACGCGAAGCCGTTCCCCGTCCAAATGAAATTATTGATCGTCCATAGTGTGCGATCCGGTTTGCAAGAGTGGCCACGTTAATTCGCAACACATGCGGAAGTTCCAGGCATCCGATGCGGGGGGAGGACGAGAGCGGTACATGCGACTGCAGTCGCGCAGCCGGAACGGAATTTCGCGAGTGCAATCGACCGGCCCGACGACTCAGCGCCGATCTATTCGATGCTATTCCAGCTAATGCGGTTTCGGCGAGCGTGCAGTTTTGCGACGCGATACAACGCCGCACGGCCCGGACGGAATATCAATCTTAAGCCAAGCGAGAAGATAATCAGGGCTCGCGGGCTCGTCACCTGCGACGCTGGTGTTGGCGATTCCGTTCCAACGATCACGAAACGCCCTGGCGAATCGTTATCTTAGCGTTTGATTTATCTTCGGGACGAATCGCTGCATCGGTGCGCCTGGAAAGTAGTCACGATATCGGTTTCGATCCTTGAAACGGCGTGGAGGATGTTCGTTCTGAGTAGTCAGTATTAGTAATTTGACAGGCGTTTCAAAAACGATATATAGCGAGGTCGTAAACTCGAGTAGGTGTCAAAGTTTACACGGTTTAGCTCCCAAAACAAGTGAATTGACAGAAATACGAGCAGTTAAGGGGCTTAGACCATAGTCAAGGTCGTACGAAGAAATGTTTTATCTAGTGTCGCCATTTTTAGAGGTATCGTAACAGATAAAGGTCTTACTCAAGTCTTTAATATCTTAATTTACTCTGCTTATAATATATGCATGTAGAAAATAAAAAAATGCAGTGCACAGAAAGACATACAGAAAGGCACCCTCAAGCAAGATGTCATGTACGACCCCAAGTGCCGCAGTAGTTCCCAACCCTCAAGAGTTTAGTTTACGACCTCGCTATAAATTTTGTTTAGAATTAGTTTAAATATTAACAAATATACAGGCTGTTCCTCCCTCAGATTGATGCTAAAATGATCTTTCTCTCACAGCAGATGGATTCTCAGTTGCCCATACATGATTATTGTGTAAATTAAATATGCCTCGTCAGTCCGTAGCACTTTTGATTGGAAAAGATTGTCTCTGTTTACAATATTTATGTACCATTCACGAAATTGCGTCCTCTTAATGAAGTCACTTGGTAATAAGTTTTGCACATAAGTGTAAGAATAAATGAGTTCGAAATTTATAGTATTTTTACAAAATCGGTTGACAAACGATCATTGTATATTATTTTTGGATTATTTTCCAATGCAACGTGTTTCTACTTGAACCGGTGCTGCATTAATTTAAAACTATTAACCAGAAAAGTGTCAAGTAGATTATCTCGGTTATCGCAAATCATCCTCTTACTTACGACGCGATCCATTTCCTTGGATAGCACGGTATCCCGCGCGCCAATATTGCTCCCGGGGAAAATTAATGTTCCGCTGCGAGGATATTAAAAATACACCGCAGTAAAACGCGAATTCCTTCGGAAAATGTATTCGATCTGACATGAATTATGAATGCTTACACAGATAGAAGTTACCAGTCATTGATCATCCCTAATGACATTCGTTCCTACCCTGTACACACCATTCTGATTGTCATAAATCACCGCCTGTAAAACCTTGAAATTAGGTCACCATAAAATTAATTCCTCCGAAAAATATTCTAGATAAGAAATCATCCTTAACACTAAACCTGCCACGACCGGTCAAATAACCATTCTCTAAATTTCGTTTAGAATTTTACAATGTTATGTTATTTTAACGCCATTTAACACTAAATAACCTTCCTTTTTCTCTTTTATCAGACAACGTACTCCTAACGTTTGAATGGTGTGTATAGAATGTTGTATTTTGAAGTTTATTCATAAGCTTTAAAAATCTGTACAGAAATATTCAATAATTTTCATTCAAATGTGCATACTTAGTACGTTAACTTCGTACAGAAAATTTACAAACTACGTCGAAATCTTTTATTTTTCATCGAACAGCAGATGACACCCTTGAAAGTATATTTTCCAGTTAATTCAGTTTTATCGCAGACCAGTCGTATTATCAATAGGAATTGTTAAAACTTCTCTGGGTATGTATCGTCAAAGTAAATTTCAAAATAAACATAGAATACAGCATAAATAATAATAGTTGATATACTCAACGGATAGGGGATGAAATGCCCTTTAAAACGAGTGTTCATTCAAGTCGATAGAGTAATTAGTTCCGGAGATATAACGATTTTTAATTTCAAATCGATCGCGTGGCTAGTTCCAGAGATATAAGGTTCCGAAGTATTTGTATAGGTTCCATTGTTGACATGGGCGCGAGGTCAATGACCGCGCGCGTAAATAGTAAACAGTGCGAGGGAGAGGTCCGACGCCCAAGACGAAGACAGAGATAGTAAAATTTAAAAAATTACCCTCTTACATAAATTATGATATCTCTAAAACGAAAAGTCGGATCGACATAAACCACAAATCATTTTAAAGGGGAGGCCTTGCCACTTCAAACAGTGACTCAATTATTAATAATAAACATTTTAATATTTTTAATACCCGTTGTTAGACTATTCTAAGACAGTGAAAAAACAAGATTTTCTCCTTTCATCTTCGCTATATATTTCCTATTTACATTGCAACCTAATCAAAATTAAAAGAGAAAAAGAAAGACCGGTCATTTGACCGATCTTGCTAGGAATGAATATACATAAAATGTCGATAGGTTTAGTGTTAAAACGTATTATGTTACTAATACAAAAACAATCTACACATCTCTTGCTCGTTTTTCTACAATAAGTTTCAATTTCTCAAGCTTTCGTTAAAATATTTAAACCAAAACTAAAGTTTCAGATTTTTTATCGCCTCAACTTGAGGTCGTCCTCTCCCACTGTGTTTCGATCATTATTCTTTCTACTTTCTAAGACTGACGTTCAAGATGGAGTTTTCTTAAAGTATCCAATTCCTGGAAGACAGCCCCCCTTTAATTAATTAAACGATTCTGGGGAATTGAAATCCATCGAAAGGAACGTCCGCGAGTAGAATCGTCGAAGAAATATCGAACGAAAGGTGAAAAGTAAAAATCGAAAAAGAAGAGTTGTGCATCCTTTTTTCCGGGCGGTTGGTCGCGAACAGGAACGTTGGACCAGCAATTTCGGCGCGGTTTCGAGCGAAAAAGGCGTACCGCAGCTGGTGCGTTACAATCGAGAGGCTGTCGCCGTCCAGCATTCCGATATGTTTGAATATTCGTTCGTGCATCGTCGATTCGCTAACCCCTGGCTACCTGGTAATTATCGGGCGACAGTCGCAACGCTCGTTGTATGTCTCGGCATCTCACGTCATTGCCTGCCAATTCGATTGGATCGGTGATTTTAATGTGTCGCGTGTCCAGGACCTCGTTACCACGCATCAATAATGACGTAGCGTGTGCAAAATCAATTAAATCAATTAGCAGGGCAAACGCGAGGCCGTGGCTCAAAATCGAGCCGCTTCTTCGTGTTCCACCGGTGATTTCAGCGCGCCGGAAAATACGAGTACACCCTTCGTTCAAGAAGTCATTCTAGTTCGCTGGTTCGAAAAGCACCCAGCTACGTATAGAAGATACACCTGACATCCTTACGTTGAAATTTTAATTTATTCTCACTCATAATTTCCTTGCGAAAAATTTTACGATGACCTTGTTTAACACTTTCGATTAGATATCTCAATTTCACGTACACACGTGTAGTCGTGCATTTCACACGTATGTACTATTAATATATCCATATTTTATTTTGATTGTTTTGTGTAGAATAATGTTTTCAAAGTTTCAAGCACAATCGAGAATCGTCGATTAGTCGAATTAGTTGGGGAACAAGTCTGTCAAATGATCAACCCAATCACGAACACATGGATTTTGATTATGCAGTGGCGATATATATAATTTGCTATCTAGTGTCAGGAATTAAAACTATGTTGCTAGAAACTTGAACTTAATTTTACATTAATATAATAATAGCAGCTGATATTTTTACAAAATAATTAGCCTATGCTTTTCGTTGGAACATAAAGAACATGTAAACAAAATTTCATCTGGATCGGACGAAAACAATAGGAAGTACAGGAAAATCACAAACCCACAGGTTTTGAGTTTTATTTTAGTAATTATATAATTATAATTATATCTAGCGTACGCAGTTCATAGCATTGAACTTTTGTACTTATCTGGGACTCTTTTCCAAGTGTTGAAATTTATATAAAAATCATTGCAACACTTTTTAATCATTCTTTACTTATCGTCATTTACTTTTGTAACCTTGCTTTAAGCAGTTGTACGAAAAAAATTTTGTTGTCCGGTTTACCTTCATCCACCTCTATGCTTATGCTTTAACTATTCTCGGAATCTGAGGACGATCTCTTGAAGTAACGAAGTCTGATCCCGATGGAGAAAGATCTTGTTCCCAACACAATCTCGTTCCTAACTCTTCTACGGTTTACTTGGATACTCTTCTACGTAAGTAGTTTACTTTGTCTTAAGTAGGCACTCTTATCTCAGGAGAATATCGTAACCAATGTTACCAGTTTTCACCGTTTCTGAACTTGTACTTCTAAAGTTTCCTTCAGATCTTTATGTATAAATTCGTACACGCGCAAGATACGTCGAAATGAATAACTATCACAAGTATCTCTGAAACGCAAAACACATTTAAGTAGAGAGCAATTTGAAAGACAACAACAACTGAAATTCTAATTGTAAAAATGAAACCGGAGACATCCTAGATTTTATAATAACTTCGAATCTCTTTGTTATGCAAGCATATACTCCAACCATAGGAAACTTTCATATTTGTCTGTCTCTTTGTGTTATACATTGTTGCTCTTTCAAGACTAATATTTTTATTATACTGTTTCTGGAAACGACCAGAATGAAATGGTTGAAACGTTAGAGATACTTGGAACAACCTCGCCTTTTAATAGCATAACTTTGGAATTACAGAAAAGTCAGGACATCTTTTATAAAGTCGTGTATATTTATGATTCTCTGGATGTTGGAGTACAGAATTATCTTTTGCTAGTAAGACCAGCTCTTTGAACCTTGTTCTCCCTAAACGCGTTCGATCCACCTTAGCGAGGGCTAATTTCTAGTAACCTGGCAAACGTGACCCGAGAATTCTCGATGACTGTGTACGATTAAAACCTCATAGGAGCCCCGGTGTGCTTACCGAGCACTTGTATGACGTCCTTGAGCAAATGCAGACTCTACGAAGAGCCAGATGCTTCCTCTGTCCGGGACATGCGACTAGGAGTAGCTGGATGTCTGGTAATTTTCCTTGGAAAATCAAGTTTCGCCGTTATCGATCCATTCCAGAAATCGGTCATCTTCGTAAAGCTAAATCCAAAATTTTAAAAATAGTTAATCTACCACAGGTATCAAAAACACCTAGTTATGTATACAATTTCATGGCCTTAGCAACCTTTGTTCAGAACGTTTCTAGATCATAATTAATGTCTGCACTCGTAGAATAAATACAATATTAATAAACTGTTTAAGAAAAGATAAATGTATATTAACGAAAAATTAGTGCATTGGATATGCTAGAGATATTGTTTTAATTTAATTTTGAAACGACTACTCGAAAGATAAAATAAAAGTAAATTGCCATCCCTAACAGTTAAAGTTTTTTAGCCAATTCTATGTTACGAGCCTAGAAACGATCTCAGTTTCGCACTTTGCATGCAAAGAGATTCCTCTTCGCAGTGCTACATTCACTATCTGCCCTATTAACATTTTTTCATCGTGAAATTCATATCCGTAATTTACACTATAAATAGACAATCGAATATCCAATGCATTATTTCTCATTACATATCGAGTAATTACTAATTTACATTTCATGTAAAGCGAAACGTATGTTTTCGAACCTAAACCTAAACAGTAAATAAACATATTATGATCGTCGATTTTGGTAATTTAAAAATTCAAGATAAATTAATGAAGTTATTTCTGGAATCGTTCTGTACAATCGAACCGATAAATTTCGTTTTTCTCCTATCGAATTACGAATTTTATCCTCGACAATTAAAGGGCAAATAAAATTAGAGATTATGGAACGACCTAATATTATCATCTATCTATAAATATATACGCAAAACAGATTACGTCACTCATCCTCACTACACTTTCCAAGCCTCCCACGTAATCACAGTCCTCGCAATCTTCCTGTTTTCGCGCGAGTTAAATGTCTTAAATCTGCTGTGGCTCGTGATCGAGGATCTTCGAAGTATCTTCGCGATCGCTTCTACTTGGCTGCGACTTCGGTTGCCATCGCCGGACCGGAAATAGACCCTGTAACCGGAGAACTCATTTATGGAAATATGGTAGCGACCGTGCGTACGTCCTATTTTTGACTTCGTTGAATGTGCCATCTCCTTCCAATTTCTCCCTCCCAGTTCGTCTTTCTTCCTCCCTTCCGTCAACCCGATCCGTGCACTCGTTCAAACTCTGCAATAAAATTAGCCAAGATTTAATAAACTGGTAAGCAAACTCTTGTTTAACCAAACTTTGAGATTACATAAACCATTCGGCAGGCTCGAGAACTCTGTTGTGTCTCGAGGCGCCGCCTTCTTGTTTTTTTTTACCTACACCTTAAACAATCTGCAATTTAGATATCTGTTCACGGCGATACTTACGATTCATTTCCTATTCGCGCGCGTTGCACTGCAGCCGATATCAGAGCACTTTTTCCTCGTTTCACACCGACTAGCCGTAACATCTGCAATAAGAAAATCTCTAGCTTACGTGTGGAGAACTCTGCGGGAGAGACGAACGAGGCCTGGGAACGGCTCGAAATATTTTGTCGATTTAAATAAAGCTGGCGACCACATGGTAGTCACGGCAAGCCCCGTAAATAGAGAACACGAGAGAGGCCACATGGACGTAGAACCGATGTTCGAGCCGCGTGAATACATGGAACCGGGTCTATTTCTGGCCTTTAGCTGCCCAGTCCCAGGGCATGGCCGGCTAATGCAATCCTTTTCTCGTTGCAATAGCCGCCTTGTAACTCTTCATCGGCGACCCGATACGTTACCGCGCACTTTTCTCGCCGTTTTTATCGCGGGTACCGTGAAATTTCGATGAGAATTACTCCCGCGGGGTTCGAGACACGACTTACATTCCTGGGATTTCGTCTCGAAAGTCTTGGTCCTCGGTCACGGACAAACGCGATCGAAATCGAGGCTTGTGGAGAACGGCAAATCCCAAATCGTCTGTCGATGATACACCTAGGCGCAGCTCCATACTTCTTTACATTCCATACGTCGCATTTACTATGGGAAGTAAGGAAGCACGGAACAGTCGCCCGGCTCGGGGAAGATGCTCCTCCACCCAGGGAATCATCTTCCTCCTTGATCCCGATCTATCTTCTTTCGGCGATCACTGTCTTTTCCCCGATCGCGGCGAGTTCGATTCCCGATACCTGCCTCTCGTGATCCAGTCGTTCGATTACGTAATCCACTGATTCGGTATACACCGTTCGCCGGGTACCTGATACCTCGCACTTCCTGTTCTGCTCGATTCGCCGGACAGAGGGGCCGAACAGGCCCTCCGTGTCGGACCTACGGAGCCACCGGACGAGTCCTTCGAGAGGTCGAGGATTTCGGTCGCAAGGTGCAACGATCAAAGACCGAACAGCAGTGAGGAACTTCTAGCGAATCCTCCTAACCGGCTGGCTGCCTCAGACTGAATGCTGCCAAAGCTTTGAGCACGCTTGCTTCAACGAGCCCTCTAAAAATGGCCGCACAGATCCCATTGGCCTCTCCGTGTCGTGGCCGACACCCCCCGGCACATGTAAGCTTACACTTGAGACTACCACGAGGCTTGCTTGCTCCCTCGTAGCGCATCGCGCCAAATTTGTCTTTACCCGAAAATAGTCAGTCCCACGGCTGCCACCACATGGCGACTATTCCTGGTCCAGACTCGAGTGATAACTTACCCAGGCCTCTGTCTCGTTCCACCGTTCCCCTCCACCGGCCCTCCTCATCCTCATCCGTCGAGCTTCATCTTCCCCTCGCGCTCCTTCGACTTCTTCTTTTCTTCGCTCGCGATGCCGTACAAAGACGTATGTACCGTGCAGTTCCTCGCCCCCTTGCGTTACGGCGTCGTTAACCAGGGAACCCGAGGAGAACTCGATAGAATGACGGTTCCAACCCTTTTGCGATGAGCTGCGCCACCGAAATTGATGTTTCCCTCGAATTTATGCCCACCGCGAGAGCTTTTTATTTGGATGAATGGAATAACCGAGCTTTCCGTTCCTCTCCGTTTGCCATTCTTAGCCGGCGAACTTCGGGCAAAACCAATTTCGCTTTCTTTTTACCTCGCCGGGCAGTTATAGAATCTAACAGGGGGGGCAAAGCGTTGAGATATGCCTTGGTTGAGATTTGACGCCCCGGTTACAGTCTGTCGAAAAAGTCTCCGTTAGAGCTGTCCGAGTAGTTGGTGTCCAAACTAAGACGAAACTCATTTGTTCGAATCTATTTGGTTATCCAAGTAGCTGGGATATTGAGAAAATTCAATCCGTTTAAGCGAAAGGAGAAGATATTTTTAATCTTACTAACTAGCCCCGAGTTATTTAAGCGAATATTCTTTTTTTAAATAGTGAATGCACTTACCTCGCCCTTCCTCGTGCATAACATTATTTATATACTGCGATATTTTAAATTAAATATTTGGCAACCATTTCTGGCGGAAGAACGAAACCCTGCATTCCACGCTTATCGTCTCATCTGCAATTTCATACTTGAAATAACGCTGGATCATCGACGAAATTTATCTCGAACAGTAGATTTTTAGTCAAAATAAACGCATCCAATATAACTGTAATTTAAAAGTCGAGTGATGTTTCGAAGTAAGATCTTCGCTCTACTTACTTTTTTCTATTTGATGAAGTACTTCTTAACATTCTTCTTCGTTGAGTCGAGTATATCTGCCTGTAATGTATTATGAAACGACCATAACTTGTCGATGCATGCAAATAATAACGAAATCGAGAACGATTGCAAGAAAAACAGCACCGATCCGAATCTTGAAGCATAATAATTGTTCCGCGCTGTAAATTCAAACGACTCGAGATTTACTTTAACAGCGAAAAATTAAAGCAGGGTCGATGCATAAATTGCCGGCACCCCGCGTGGCAATAAAAGTATCAAACGACGCCATTAATCGTTAATGTCTTTTGTGAGCGGCATTTTTCCGCGTCGGGTTAAGGAAATTTCGTCCCGGTAAACAAGCCGCGTAACGTTGGTTCCTCAAAATAACTAAATTGATCCAATTAAACTCCTCTAAACTATGGCTTTATGGCCCGTGCCGTGAACACTTAATGAAACGTGTATCGCGCACCGATAATAAAACGATACAACCGGAGACAGTTTCTATATAATGGAGTTAAATTAGCCAAGAAACGTCCTTTGTTTCGGAATATACAGTCGGATACAAAAATATTGAGAAAAAGAAAATTTTTTTTGAATGTACGTACGCTTTGAACCTTGTGAATGGCTTAGTAGATGTCGATGCAACTGTATATTTAAGTTTCACATTCTCATTGCAAGATGGAGTTTTAGCAAAATCGGTGGATGATGATAGTTACGTAATTTTTTGTTGTAAATATATTCATAGAAATTTTGCAGAATATTTTCAAATCTTAAAGAATATTAAATTTCACATGAATGAGTTGAAATAAATGAGTTGTGAACATCAAAGGTTTTTCTCTAATTTACGTATATTATATCAGTGTTTACTAGATTTCGTAATAAAGTACACATAGTGTGACGTGTTTTTAAAACAGTTGCCTGGATGAAGGCCAGATTTTCATTCTAACGTGTCACAATAATACGTAGTTTCTCTACTTTTGCGTAGGATTCTCGATTACAGCACACCAAAACAAGCTAAATTTAACGTTGCACGCATAAATTAAAAGTTGTTTGGAACGAATCGCTCGATATTTATCAGCTATCAAATAAATAATTAATCTAAACCTGTGCAGTTGGAAACCTCCAGCATGAATTCGAGGTTAAAGCGTGTTGCACTGTTCGTGGTTTTAATTCTAATTACAGCGTGGAATAACGATTTCGAATCGGTAGGACTGTTAAATTAGACTTATATTCGAAATGCTAGCGCGCTGGCTAGCACGATCGCTTGTCGCAAGTATTATTTATAGAATGTTATTTGCAGCAATAACGGTGCTGGCAAACGGCCAACGCTTGTACAATGTACTATTAAAGCAGTAATTAATTGCAGTTTTATTTAATCGTGTCGCGAACTCGCACCTGATATCTATGGGCAGATAATATTTTGCAGAAACGACAAGAATGTTAATTACCAATCGAAAACCTGGATTTTAAGAAAGTAATCTTTCCAAGCGAAGAAAAACTACTATGAGCTGCAACAGGGTAATCTTCAGTCGAAACATCGGGCATTGAACTTCGATAATGATTCACGAATAAACATAATACATTTGACAACTGCAATCATTCTTTTTGGCAAAGATTTATACAGAGTTTAAAATACATTTTCTCTCTAAATTCTCCCCACTCTGAATGCATACTAATGTGTCCAAATCGCCTGGAAAGAAGTAATTTTTAATAATTGGGACATTTTCGTTCCGAAGACCTTAAATGTACAGTTGGAATCGAGGGATGCAGCAGAGTTGAACAAAGTACACATGAGAATGATGAAAATGATAAATTCTTATCGGCCAGGTTTAGGTTCGGGACCCACCGTGCGTCGTTTCGTTTCGACTCGAGTGGAAGAGAAGAGAAATCCTTCAGCTCGCGTCGCGACGCGACGTCTCCTCCGGATCTAAAATTACTGGCAGCCGAAGACGATGCATTCGCGGTCCGGTGAGCCGTGCGAAAACGAGCCACTACAGGCTTACGCCCTAATACAGCCCCTATTTTTGGACGTCGCGCTGACGCCACGACGGGGACAACTCTCCCGCAAAAGAAAATCGACGTTCTTTCCCTCCCTCTGCCCCTCCATCCATCTTCCCCACCCCTCTTTCCACTTGCCTCTCTTTTTTGTGCTAGCGCTGCGACGAGGAAAAGTTATTATTACTTTTTGTTATTGTTCAAAGCGTCGCGGAACTCTGCGTTATTTCCCTCCGCTAATCAGCATAGGGGAAAATTGCCCAACGCTTAACGGTCGCCTAAACTCTTCTCGATCTCTTTGTTATTACCGAATATAAGAACAAACCGAGTGAAGAAGCCATTTTCAGCATTTTGCAGAGTATTATAACGAATTACTGAATCTCACGAGTATTATCACCAAACTTTAACCGATATTGGCTGTACACGTACGTGGCCCTAGTTACACGGACACGGAGAAACTCGTCCGCTGGATGTGTATCGGATTACGAGTTCGTCGTTGAAAATAGCCTTTAACAGCGTACTAACGGTAAAGACTTAAAGCAACCTCCGACCGAGATGCGGGGCCGGAATTCACTTTCAGAGCAGTTTTTGACGTCCTGATGAAAGAAAACCACGGGATAACGTGACACGGGATCCAAAGACGAAAAGGAGGGAAAAAAATGTGAAAAGAAGATGGGGCAGAGGGGGAAGGACAGCGAGCCCCGGTGGTGGTCCTTTCTGCTAATTATCATTGTTATTTTAGGTCGAAAGATAGAAAGTCGTCTAGATCCTAAGTGGAACGGTTTTTTAGGTTTAGCGGGCCATCGTTTCTCTCTCTTTTTCTCTTCCTCTTGGACGTTTCACGGGACGCAAGAAGGGAGTCGTTTGCTCGCTCGAGGGGAGGACTTTTAAGCGGCTTAAGGATATTTGGCAAACCGGACGAATGTTTCTTTTATGTGGCCCCTTTGAGACACTCTTCTGGCTCTTCATATTCCTCGTCCTTCTCGCTCCCGCTTCCTTTGCCTCCGGAGATAACGGATTACAATTGCTTTTTATAACGCAACCATCTGGGAAATTTTACGAGTTAACGAAATTGTGGGGGAGGAAAATTCCTTTTTAATTCCGCTAACTTTCGATACTCGAAAATTTAAGTACGGCCGCGCGATAAAGAAGTACCGACATCATTAAAACTTCTGATGCACACCTTTGCTGACTAATGTTTCATATTTCTTTAGTTTTTCGGGGCAAATAAATTGAAACTGAAACTAGCACAGAGAAATAACATTTCCTACATCGATGAACTTTGTTTGTCAAATGTGGCTTTGACATTATAAGCTGTAAAAAGGCAAACTTTCCTCGTAAATAAG